TACAGCATATATTTAGTGATTTTAATGTTAACAGATCATTGATGCAATAACATTTGGACCCAATTTGCCTGACTTGACACATGGAATATGGGCGTAGGAAGCATCCTCAATGTGGGTGGGACAATTTGACAAGGGGTGTGGGCAGGTGGTGGACCACACCTCCTCTAGGGGGGTCCGGGGGCATGCTCCACCGGGGAGATTTTTTTTTTTTTTAAATGTAGAAGTTAAATGCATCAATCTGGTGCACTTTGAGAGCAAAATTAGGGACTAAATCTAAGGATACATCTCTCAACACCCATATGAACAGATTTACTTTTTCTTTCAACATTTATTTGAACAGCAAGTGGAGGCAAAAGTGACTGCACCCAATACAATAAACCTGCTAGCTAACTAGCCTAAACTCAGTAATAGAATGTGGGCAACACGTTCTTCTCCACAGCCGCACGACCTCTGAGTCAGACGTCACTTCCCCCTTTTCTATCCTACGGGTGCAGCCACTCCCCCTGAACCCCGTTTCCCTGCCATCATTTTATCTCCAGCATTAATCCTAAAGTCCTAGGAAGTGTGTCCCCTGGTGCAAACTGTTCTTAGTCTTTCTTGTAGTTTCATTGACATCAAAAAAGTATTAGAACTAGTGAATAAATTGAAAAAAAGTTTAAACAAAAGTATTTTTCTCCACACAATGAACACTTAAGCAATCAGCAATTCTATACGTTTTGCTTTTAGAGTCATACTGTTGCTCACCTTTCCTCTGCATTTGCCCTTGTTGATGATCTTCAGAGCGTACTCCCGTCCTGTAGTGTGCTCCACACATTCCCGGACCACTGCAAAGTTCCCATCTCCTAACGTGCGTCCCACCTTGTAGCGGTCCGATATGTAGGACGGCACAGCTGGAACCTCGTCGACTAAAACCTCAGCTGCAGGGAAGAAGGCCGAGGTTTAGAGAAGCTGGGGGACTCAAAGTCACTTCCAGGCTGATTGTACACAATAACGTAAGAGGAGAGGACCTAAAGGCTAAAGCTTTTACTGCTACAATTCATGCATTTATATCTAACAAGACTAAAAGATAAGATTTGTAAAAATGATATGAAAATAAATGGTATACATAAAACAATGAATTGATTAAACTGTAAAGAAAATGTAAATGGAATGATAAAAATCTAATGAATGAAGATATCACAGATACCTAAAATATATAGGTTATAACAAATAAATGTAAACGTATTGTAGAACCATCATCAGTTTAAAAATATGTTTTTATTTGATTATTTATATATTTTGTTTCAAAGCCAATGAGAGCTGTAGTTCTTCTGGTCATCAATCATCAATCAATGTTTATTTATATAGCCCAATATCACAAATGTTACATTTGTCTCAGTGGACTTCACAGTTTGTACAGAATATCAGTATGACAATACGACACCCTCTGTCCTTAGACCCTCACATCGGACAAGGAAAAACTTCCGGAGAAAACCCACAGTTTAAAGGGAAAAATGGGAGAAACCTCAGGGAGAGCAACAGAGGAGGGATCCCTCTCCCAGGACGGAGGACAGACGTGCAATAGATGCCGTGTGTAAATTGAAAAGATAATACATTTGCAACATAGGTAGTCCAAATGTTTGGACATTCGGGTGGACATTTTGTGACTCTACAGCTTTGCGTAAAGAGCTCTGTAAATGGCGGTCAAGTAAGAAAATTGAAAAGTAAACATGAAACTAGGTTATAAATTAAATGTATGCAATTATTGGATGCATTTTTTACATTTGAGATGGTCTCTGTGCCCTCTAATATTATAAAGATCAGAACATCAGAGATCCATGACTCAACATAATAATGACATTTTCTTGGTACCTTGACATTTACCAGCACATGGATGTTTGTAGTGTCACTGAGTCAGAGAGGTGAAGCAGGACACCAGAAGAAGTAAAGGTGTGAGAAAACAGGATGTACAGCGCAGACACAGCGAGACGCACCAAAGGTCAATAACATGATTCACACATGCATGATATTAGCAAGTACATCGCCTTTTCCCACTGATAGACAGATGGCACTAGCATGACAGCATGGCTACAATCATTTTCCTCACCGTCAGTAACAGGTCCATCTCCGTCTTCTACCGAACTGGACACTTTAGTGGAAGACAGAGAGCTGGAAGAACCCTGGGACCCCTGTAGAGAGGGAGGTAAATATTTAAATCTTAATTATCACTTTAAAAAGTTTGAAATCCACTCCACTCTAAACCAAACACCATAAAGCAGTCCCTTCTGTTACAATCCCAGCCGAATAGAAACATGTCCAAAAATAGACTAAAGTACATTGTCCTCGGGACATCCTGAAGTCTGTCTTTGTGTTTGCATGTCTGTCTTTTCTACTTTGCTGCCCTGTATTATGTGCTCACATAAAAGAGCCAGAACAGATTTACTTAGGCTACTGAGGTGAATATAAACCGGTTACTTATTCAGCAAACCCCCTGTGTGTGTCCATGTTGCATCCCAATAGGCTCCTCTCCGTTCATACGACTTTAAGTCAATCCTGTACGATGTTATACAGCTAAAACGACTTTAGTGACTTAAATAAATAAAGGTGGAGGAATTCTTCCTCATTTGGTTGGTGAGCAGGTCATTAAGGGGAAAGAGATGCAGCGTCTGCATCTATCAACAGACCAAAACTCATTACGCCCTCCACCTCGTAACCTTCTGTCTGGTTGTCATGGAAGCACCGAGGGCGGGGAGCGAGGATCTAGTCTGGACTGTAAATGAGAATCTACCCCTCTCCCGTTTCTGTCTGTCCTCGCTCCTGTACATCTTTCTGTTCTCATCTCCTCTAAAACCCGTTAGCTTCATTTCTTTCTTCTTTTATTAGATGAACATCGTCTCTGTTCTCTCACAGTCAGACCTGTGAGGAACAAATCAGTTAAAGGTATTTGGGAGGTGTCCAGTGCTCGAACAAATCCTCCAGGTGCAGCTGGCACATCCGCCTGGCCAGTAACTGAAGTGGCAGCCACCATCATTTCTCCAAAAGATAAGCTGGCCAATGAGAATGAATAACAAAGGTCTTTGCGCTGTGAATGGTCTGGACTATGTGTGTGATACATGAGCAACTGAGAGCAGTGCATCAGTGGTTTGATGTTGACTAATATTGTAGCTGATAATACAACTTATCTCTGATTTCGGTGCAGGTGTAGTGTTTTTAAAGCTCTATAATGGGAAACATAGTATAATTTACACACTAATAAGACCTGACGCCTTAGGAGAGATGAGATCCAAACAGTGTTTCTGAATTAATGTATGCTTCCTGTTGTTTTTATACTAACCGAGCCAGCACAATGTGACGTGTAGAAGGCTGCTATAATGGTATAGTAAAAGTTCACACATCAAACCTTTGAAAACTTTTGAAACTGTCAGATTAAATCAGTTTCCTTCTGACTCCACATGGTGGATTTGAGCAACAGCGCAGATCAATGTAAAAAAAGCTTGTTGGGATCTAGAAATAGCCTCTAATTTATATGATGCCCAGTCAGACTGTGATACAGCCTGAAGACTTCGCTGTCACGGCAGAAAGAGGAAAAGGTCTCCCATCACAATGACTAAGATCTGAACTATTTACAGGGCCCAGCTTCCCTATATCTCTGTAGTAACTGTCAGCTTGTTTACTCATCTCCGCTGCTGGAACCTCAGAGCTACCAAGGTGAATGTAGCTGTGAGTCAGGCTGAATTTGGTTTATGTAATGTTGTTTTTGCTTGGGCACTCATCCCGGAACAAGAAAACCCACTTAATAACCATAAAGCTGATGACCCTCCTGTGCTTTATCTACAAAACATCCTTCTCATGCTCTTTTATTCCCCTTCTGACTCGTATATTCTCCTCTCTTATGCCCTTATCTCACATCCAGCCCCGTCCTCCACTGGCGTTCTCATTTTGAACTCCTATCTCTCTCCTCCTGCCACCGAGGGAAACAAAATACTGTTGCTATGGAAACTGCTCACAGAGAGGAGAGAGGAGAGGTTGGTTGTGAGACTTCCAGTGAGCAGACAGAAGCCTATATATGGCCGTTTCCTGTCTGCGGGCTGGGAGGTAAGCTCAACCTCCTTTGAACACTGTGTCTCTCTTTCCTGTGCGGAAAAACTTTGAGACAGATGGAGAGATAGACAGAGTGAAGAGAAAATAAGAAGCGTAGAGAGACAGAGAAAGTGAAAACAAGGACACGGTGAGAAAGATAGTCTGCTGTGGTTGATATTGATCCTTACATTTGGCAGGAACTGTCTTGTTATTGTTAGACCATCCAACTTTCTTCCTGTTGCACAACACAACATAAACTATTCCTAGTTCTACATCTCTACACTTTTGCTCTGGCTATGACTCACACCACAAAAACACACACACTGACAAACCTTCACATCACGGCTGGAGCTACTGCTCTCCAACCTCCGAGGAAAACACTCAGCGAATGAATGCTGATAGGTGAATACATGTGAATTAAACAGGATGTCCACAAATGACCTTAACAGTGGAGCATCATCTCAGACGTGGAGCAGCAGAAATAATGAAAAGGAAGTCTTGTCAACTGTACAATTTGGGATTACAAATGCACCACACATTCACAAAACTGTTTTAAGAATAAGGCTAGTCTTGTCCTCGATGACCCTGTGTGAATCCGATAACACACACATCCTAAAGCCGTCCTTCAGAATGAGAGAGCCAAACCTCTTCTCCAGCTCTTTCTTATCACGTTCACTGTCATGCATTATCTAGCAAAAGCAGGGTTTATTGGTGTTCGCCTTGTTGGGTAAAACATCTAATATGATTTGATAGAAACAGGGTACTTTGTTTGGTCCCGAGTTCCCACTCTCACTCTCATAAGGACAGAGGGTACAGTGATATATCTTGGCTCTTATTTTAGACAGAGAGCAACATAATCTGTTTGACTCTCATCCAAAGAGATCAACAGTGTTTGGGGATTCTGACTTTATGCTTTGGTTATTAGGACTTTTTTTTAAAATCACGTTCCTTATGGGCCACAATCCCAGGTAATCACAGGGCTATGATTAAATGTTTAACGGAAAAAAGAAAAAAAATGGGCTGTCTAAGCCAGAGAAACAACACATCCGGAAGAGAAGCAGTGGGACAGAGATGATGAATGCACCTCTGGGACTGAGCTTGTGTTGTAATCTCTTTTGTGCTCGGCTGAATACAGACACAAGTTTAACAAAGAGGAACCAAACATCATAATCATACTACATCTACTGGAAATGATCCCTGTCTGTCTTCGTGTGTGATGAACATAATAAATCAAGAAGCAAGAGAAGAAAAACACAAAATGATAATGAAATGACAATGAATTTAATGATGACATCAACAAATGGAAATTAATACATTAAGCAAAGAAAAATACACACTGAAACAAATGAGCCAAGAAGAGCTGGCGTCCTTACATGACAAACTCTTAATATTTAAATGAAGCACCAGGTTATCAAATACAATTGGGCTGTGATAGAGCACAGAGACGATTTTCAGATTTACATATCTTGCAAGTAAATGGCAGTGCAAAACGCCTTTTACGAAATGTGATGTTACCAATTAAAGATATGTAAATATGAGCCAAATTAAAATCATGTGTTTCTAGGAATAAAACAATGTATAAGCTTTCCTTTTGCATCAAAATCTTCCACAGTTTCCTCATGTGCTGCAGCCAGTCTTTTTGGAAGACATAGGAACACAAAATTGGACAAGCCATCTAATGACATCAACACAACAGGAAAAAAAGAAATAAAGTACAACGCAATAACAAATACAATCTGAAGTAACAACAAACTCACATTGATGAGATGAGACAATAATTACCAACATCATAATACACACCTTCACTCTGCTTTCTCACACACACACACACACACACACACACACATAATTTAATTATGATTCACTCAACACAAAATATGGACGGTAATGAGAGATGGAGCATGCAATTCAATGGGTTACAGACTTGAATGACTCAATGGTGAAAGGAGGATGTCGGTGACATACTTGACAATAGCCTCTTCTTCATCTAGTACGCTCACCAAAAATGGCTACCTGTCTGTATCACAGCTGTTGTTTAGTATTAGCATTATAAACCTTCTGTTTGACTTGCCTTCAATCTGTCAATCCCTGCACTCCACATATTTGTAATGATTTATTTCCCTGCATGTGTTTCTCACATCTAATGGAGGAAACAGACGGGGAATAACTTTGACCTCACCAGCTCATTCAATTCATCCATACGTGCTTTAGAGTGGATATTGCCAAAAAACAGAATGTGTGTGTCAGCGTGTATGTAGGTTTAATATCAAATATTAAAGCATGATGAATATGGAAAGCTAGTGTGCTTTCAATGATCCAAGTGGCCTCAAAGAAAAGTAGAAGAAGGGGATAGATGACATCATGAATGTTGACCCGTCCTTCATGGTTGTGTTGCTTATTCACTAAATTGGGTCATGCTAGAGTGCATCAAATGTATAAAACACATGGCCAAGTACATGTGTGCGTTGGGCTGTTGTCTACTGCCTGCGCACAAATGGCGATTTCATTTTTTATGAAGCAAACATGATTCTGTGAGCAAATGCCATGAAGAACCGCGCATGTCTATGTGCTTGCAGCGATGCATGTGTGAAAGGGAAAGTGAAAAGCTGCAGCGCAATGCCATGTCTGTGTATTCTGCTCGGGGAAATGGGTTAGGATGGTTTGAGCCGTGAGAACAACCCACATCAGTCAGCAGAGTGCCTCTAAGTGTTTAAATGCAGGGTCCAGCGAGGTTAGCTCTTTAAATGCTATCCTCGTAATAGGTCACTGCGGCTCTGTGGCTGCTGAGGAAATGGATTCATGGTAACTTGCAATGCTTTGAAGGCATTTTAAAATGTTATTTTTTTAGCCTTAGTTGTTCTTTTCAAAACACAGATGTGAAAATGCTAGTTTCATGTGAAGAAAAAGGTTATTTCTGAGTCACGGTTTGGTTAGAATAAATTATGCGTTTTAGGCGTAAGGGTGAAAAAGCTACTCGCTTACTTGAAAGCACAACAAAAAAGGATTTATGTGTGAGTACTCGGTTATTCATGCTTGTTTACTCAGGGGTGACAGAGAAGGGAGAGGACATGTGCAAATATAGTGTGAGAAACTTGCCGCCTACTTCTCAAAGGAGCTTAGAACTAATCTACAAGGGAAATGATGGCATATAATTTCTCCGTGTGAAGTTAATACCCTTTCATATGGGGAAGAGAGAGCTGGGTGGTGGGGGGATGAGAATGGGTGAGAGATGAAGTATAAGAGAAAATTAGAAACTGTCACGGAGGGAAGGGACAGGGGGAGAATTGCTAACAGGGCAGATAGAAAAAGCAAGTGTAAAAGAGAATTACACCATCGTATGGCTGCAGAGTGGAGGGGTAAGATAATGGACTGTGAGGCTTGCTCCCTTCCCTCCAGCCAGGCCATCGCAGGCTTAGTGCCGAGTCAGCGATTACAGACACCCAAATAATTCGAGAAACGCTGAAACTAGAATCTAAAGGTTGTTCACTGAGGTCAGGATTGCACTACAAAGCTAATTTGCGATGGCTTATGTTTGATGAGAAAAGCGGACGGAGGCGAAAAGACAGGTGGTGAGGTTGATGGAGAAGATAGGGCAATATGCTTCTTCTTTTTCTCATTACATCTGGTTAGCGCTACTTCACCTCACTAACCCTGACTTTTCTTTGGATTGCTCTCTGAAAATGTGGAAATGATACAAAAGAACAGATTGGCAGAAAGCGGGCACCATAATCGTTGTTATTAACAGTAGAATAAGATGTGTGTCTTTGTGTGTTAAATGTGTGCACTTGCCAACCTCTTTCCCTTTTAACGTTGACATGTATGGTGACCCACTGCCATTACACAGACAACCGTTGGAGTCCAAGTGCCCCCTTTTCTGTTCTCAGTACCCAAATCTGATCTGTCCCTGACTGACCATCACATCACATCAATATAACCTCATCACTGATGGATTCAGAAGCATACAGGCCAGACTCATTCATTCTTCCAGGCACATCCAATGTAGTACGAGACCCAAGCCACTGAGCCCAAGAGATACATTCTTTATGCTATGCTGATTTTAGCTAATCTATGTACAGACATTATTCTGACTCAATTTTCGTGTCCTATTAAGAGGTATTGACTCACACTGTATCATAACCTTTCCTTCCCAAAAAAAGCATTGTGGCAGCACCAATAAATAGCTAAATAATTGCAGAATAAATCATAGTTACTCCCCTGCAGTCAGGTAGAAAAGTGGTACACAAATGCATGTGCAAGCTGGAGGCCATATAAATCCACTGTTTACATATACTGCTGTGTCTATATGTTAATGTAGGAGATGAACCGAGCGTGCAAGTGTGTGTTTGCGAGGGAAAAGGAACAAAATCAGCAGCAGGCTTAGAGTTACTGTAAATTACAAGCTGCTGCAAGAAAACAGTCTCATTAGGATTTAAGGCTGATATTAAAAGCTCACCACCGTCACTGTCAACGACTGGATTAAAAAAGACTTTGATCTTGAACACATGCACACACACCACACATGAACCCTCTAATGTGAAATTCAATGTTCTCTCCCATTTGATTTGCATGCTCCCTCTGCACAGTTGTATATTCTCCATAGAGGCTACCAGCTTTACAGCATTCATATATTAAAGTATGTTTGCATCCCAAATCTCATGTCTCTCTGTTAGCTACAGAAAACACATTATGATGTTTTAACAGAGATTATTTCAAACCCAGGTCAATGACAGAGTACATAATAAAAAGCTGACTGAAATAATCTGAATTACTAGTATAAAATGTGCTTCTAAATTATTTTCACAAAATGACATGATAAAAAAGTAATCCTAGATCAGCAGTCGGTACAGATTGCTTTTGTACACAGCTTGGTGGCTAACGGAGATTTCAAACCAATTTTGCCCAGAATAAAAACAGACATGAAGATTGGAGCAAGCCGCTAACAAAGCCACCCATCAGTGTCATTTTTAGATTAGATATTGCACAAATTACTGACTGGCGGCAGATCTCTAAAAGTCAGTGATAGCATCATTCATTGTGTAGCTACCAAAGGCAGATAGAGTTCTCCTCAAGGAAAAAAGGATGTGGGTCAGCATGTGTGGAAATGTGACAGAAAATCAGCATGAAATGAGGGATTGCCCTTGGAAATCTATTAACACTGGAAAAGGGCAGTAACATAGTGGATCCTAACACGAGCCTGACATTCTTGGTATCCCAGAGCAGCAAAGCGTGAGGTCAAAGGTCAATGCCCCACCCCTTCTGAGACACTAAAGATGTTGGGATGTTTCTTCGGATTTCTAACAACTCTAAGATGTAGTCGGCCTATTGTCAGTCATGGATTTGTCATTTTCCTGAGAACAAAGAGGGAATGTGTTATAGATTTAGTGTCACTAAATGATATATGGCTGTTTTTGTGTGTATGCTTGTGTATTCTTGTCTTACCATGCGTTGGTTGAGGCTGCCCGGGCTGGGCGGGGAGGGGCTGGGAGATTTTCCCGAATGAGGAGTGGACAGCTGACTGGCCGGCGTCCCGTTCACTAGAGGGAGAAAACGAGAGGGAAAATGGAGCAGTGTGTGAGAGAAATATGGAAATAGATGATTTAAATGTGAATGCATGTTTTCTAGTGTCTAGCAGCAGCCCACACTTCCGCCCTCAGCTTCTCTCCATTCACATGAATGAGGCGGAGGAGGAGGAGAGCAAGAGGGGGAGTAGGAGAGAAAGGAAAAGAGCAGTGAAGTCCACACTGCTCTTTTTTTGGTTTTAAAGAAGCCAAAATACAGATCCTGCTGTTAAAAATCTCTGTGAAACAAGCCAATCAAACCTGAACCTCTATATGTGCACCGGATAATTACAACATGTTCAAGGCTTCAAGTGCATGGCTGGAGGTCAACACACAACACCAGGCTGTCCTCATTTCCATCCACATCCTCTAATCTGTGCACTTGTGACCTCGATTTGGTGTTCTTCTCCAGCTGCAGCACGGCACTGAAACCCAGCGGCATCACCTCATTTAACACGAACATTAGATTAATCAACACTGCACACAAAATCCGGCATCTGGTCGAGCAAAAGCTTAATTTGAATGAAGACATAAAGACACAAGACATAAGCCTGGTTTGGTCTTACTGAAAACATGGGTTATTGTCTCTTGGCAACAAAACACTGCCTTAAACCAAGTCAGCTCAATGAAACTGCAGTAATACCGAAATACAAACTGGTAAATGGTCAAATTAGCTCTGATTGTTTGGATTTTCTAACTTAAATATGTTTTAGGTTGCATGACCAATAATGCAACTTCCCCATTGTACATAGAGAGGCAGGGGAGTAAAATCACTGCATTGTTTTTGGTTAGTTTCTCAAGTCTTTTAATCACACTTCCATCAATAAGCCTTTGTTCTGTAAATATTGCTGCATTTAAACAATATTTCATTTGCAGTCTCCACCTCGACACATTTTTATCACAGACCTGTGGGAGCCAAGAGGTCCAAGCCTCCCTGTATGAGGTTTATTCCCCTGCTGAGATCAAAAGAACTTTCTGAATAATTCAAGCAGATAAAGAAAACCCACAGCAGACTAAAATAGCACCGACTTCCTCAGCTTCGGGATTCTAATTTTCCAAACGAGGACATAAGAAAGGAAATAAAGAAACTGGTATTTTTTAAGCAATTCCTGGACATCTCCATTGATGAAATTCAGCATCAGCGTTACGCACACGGAGAGACACTCCTTCCAGTTACACAACGGAAAGCGATAGCATTTACAGACATCTGTCATTAGCCTCAAAGTCAATGATATTCAAAGTCACATCCGCGGACTTTGAAAGACCCGCATTCATCTACATCAGGATCGGAGCAGGAACGCGTCAAGTCAACGCTGCCGGAAGACAGTGTATACCACAGGCCGGGTGCGTAAAAGCCGCAATGTAAAAACAGAGATGTATTACCTTCCACTTCTAGCATGATGAAAAACACAGTGATAATCCAACGCGGGTTAAAGAGAAGAAGAACAGCACCTCTGTACGCGCTCCGTCCGAGTGTGATAGTAAACTGTGGTGAATGGGAGAGACGGAGAGGAGCTGTACTACACAGGGAGGGAGGGGGGGAGGCTGCATGCGCACGCTCTGACGCGAACCGTGAAAAGAGAGAGAGAGAGAGAGAGAGAGAGAGAGAGAGAGAGAGAGAGAGAGGAGAGAGAGAGAGAGAGAGAGAGAGAGAGAGAGAGAGAGAGAGAGAGAGAGAGAGTGGGGTAGGACAAATAACATCTATGATTTTGATATGTTTTGGCTTTCCATTAAATAACAATGTCCTTGATATTTTGGAGACAAACTGTGAGAACTAGTGCAGACAAATAAGAGTCATGGAAGAGGTGTGGTCGGGAGGAGGCATGGATTCTGAAGGCTCTATTGTTCCTTGTCCAAACATCCTCAAGAAACAAATGCTGCTATTTTTAAACTGCAAATGTTCACCCAAAGCAAGAGCAATACAGGCAGCAGCAGCAGCAGCAGCCAGCTCTGTGTGCTTTAGGGTTTCTCTTATTCCTGCACATATCCAACCCAGAATCAGAACATGAGGTATTTGCAGGGCAGTTTGAAGGCTGAATGTAGAAATATAATCTCAAACATCACTGTTATTCTACATGTTTTGTAGAGATCCTCTCGTTAATGATAACAAGTTGACCAGAATGCAATGCAGCCTTTGTAGCTTCTTTCCCACCTGCTGTGTTAAAAGCTATGGCTGCACAACTTCACAAAGAAGCAGTGCTGGCAATGAATATGGAGAATCACCTCATGTGTCTGCCTGTCTCCAGCTGTGAGTCGGCATGAAGCACAGGCTACATGTTGAAATATGAATGGGGAAAAAAACACAAACAAAAAACATTACCTTTTATATATTGTTATAAAAAGAATCGCTGGTCTCTTTTCGGTCTCCATCTTAACTCATAACAATATAATGGGTTAATGGGTCTTACCAACCAATACAATGTTATTTCCCTGCATATTACCAATCATATGTGCTATGTTCATCATACCTTTATTTTTAAGAACCCCATCCTTTCCTACACCGACGGTACTGGAGCATGTTAGGATAAACACAGGTTGTTTTTGTGCATGGTCCACGAAGGCTTTCCAAAACTACTCTTGGAAAATCGACACACAAAATCAGTGAGAAAATCAGGACTATGCCTAATGGGAACTGTCTATTGCTTCTATAAGATAAGCAAAACACAGTAAAACATTATTTAAGGTAAAATACACAAGAGTTTTACTTGTGTTTACTGTGTTGCTTCATGAACACGAAGCTGACTGGAGACTAGTCATTATCTTGCCTTTAGTGCAAATATCAACACCATAATTAGTTTTTCTTGCAGCCTGTTATTGGGTTCGGTCTCTGTTATTTGTTACGCTCTGCATTCTTATCTGTTTTCAGAAAGTACATGTATCTCCTTCATGAGTTGCAGTGAGGGTTTCACAGTGTCTCAGCCAGCAGCAGCCGATCCTCCGGAGATACTCTGGAGTTATGTGTGGGGTCGCCCCCCCCCCCCGCACTCTCCCGTCAAACCGAGTTGCTCATGACAGAAAGAGAAAGGTGAGACCCACGCATCAGAGGAGGGCAGGGAAACAGATGGTGGGAAAGTATGGAATGAGTGCAAATTGTTTTCACACATTATTTTGGGTCGGCATAGGTTTGTGAGATCATCACAGAATAAAGCTCGTGTGATGACAATGTCAGGCTGACACGCAACAAAGTGCCTACGTAAAACACACGAAACATGACGCCACTTCAGACCCCTCCACCTCGAGTATAGATACCTGAGGAATATCTTTCTCAAAATGAAAGGTGACTGAAATTGTATTTAATTTCTGATTTAAATATTAAAGATGGATCAGAAAAGGTCAATATGTAAATTTGTATTTTAACATTTAATCAGTTGAAATTTATTAAGGTGTGATGCGTTTTAGTTTCATTTTCTCATTCACAGAATTATTATTTATTTACTGTGTACAGCATTAGAGACAGTCTGATGATTCAATGATTACTTTAGACCTAGAGTATAATTTACCTAGCAACAAACCAACAGCACATACTGTACATATAACTGCATTTCTGAGCGACAATTTAGTAGCGATATGACGCGGAGTGTTGCACACCGAAACCTACTGATTTCAACACTACAACTATAGACGTCGAGATATTATTATTGCTGAATATTAAATGAAGGTACAGTTTATTTGAATACGTTTGTTTACCGACGTGGGTAGCATGAGACAACATCCGGAACTACCGGAAATGATACCAGCCGTGAGGTATTTTTGGAGTATTGATTACAGCGTTTAAAATGTATTAAATGAAAAGTCATGAAAGAGATAAGGAGTAAAGGCGTGTTTAGTTATATATTTAATGTACAATGTCTGAATCCTCTGTAATGCGCAACAACGAACATTGGAGACGTGGAGGGCCGGCCCCCAGCAGCGCCAACCGGCCCACAGGGAGGAGCCAGCAGAGGATATTTAACAGCTGGAAAGGTGGAGCTCGCTCTCTTCCCTTCGCTCACGAGAGCCAGAACACAGCTGTTTTTCTGACTGAACCATCTTCTGCTTGTAACATTACCTCGCTTTTTATTAATTAAAGTATACATTTGAACCTTCTCAGAGACTCAATTAGTCTCCTTTTTAAAGCTTCTCTCCTAGACGCGAGAATAACGAACACAGTTATCAGACTTAATGTATCCGCGGCTGAAATATCGATACTTTCTCGGAAAACTAAACATCGATATCTATCGCAGAATTGATTAAATTGCACAGCCCTATTACATTGATTGATTTAAATGTTGTGTTAATTACATCCAAAAGGTCTTAACACTTTAATGGAAGGTTTCAATTGGAGGTACTTGAAATCGTGACTTCTGATTACAGCCCCCATTATGAGGAATTATGAAGCTGGAACGGCAACTACTACTGAAACTGGCACATGAACAATGCCTATCCCCACCACATTTAACACATCAGACTGGTGAAACCAAGTGGCTGTACCAGTGATGTATAAAAACCTGTCATTTATATTTGAAACTTGGAAGTGGATAAACATCTTATAGGCACTGTATATGTTCAAATGTGACATCTAATTGAACAGGTCAAGATCCACTTGCCAGTTGTCTATTTTCCATTTCCATGCGATTATCTCTGTCTGTCTGTCCCCCCAGTTGGTTTGTCCTTCTCTTTAACACACTTCTGCTCCTCAGTGGTGCCAAGGTCAAAGATTGAAAGGCACACAATGGGGAGCAGCCAGACACAGAAGGACACCAGGAAGTGATTCACAGCGTGTCACATGCTTTCAAACCTTACTCCTCTTTCATCCGCTCACTATCAGCCAAATCCACGCTTCACATCTTCTCTGTGCTGCTCCTTCAGCCCAGATTATTAGATGTGATAAAGAATGTTATAAAAGCCTGTGTTGGCTGAATGGAAAATGAATATTACATTACATTGCATTTAGCTGACGCTTTTATCCAAAGCGACTTACAATAAGTGCGTTCGACCAACAAAATACAAACTTGAAGAAAACCGAATCATATAAATACATCAGGTTTCATAGAGCAAAAACATTTCAAGTGCTACTCAACTGGCTTTAGGTAAGCCAGTCCTTCATTAGTATATAAGTGCTTTGTTAATAGTTATATCGCTCAAAGTGGAGTCGAAAGAGATGAGTTTTCAGTCTGCGCTGGAAGGTGTGTAAGCTATCTGCTGTCCTGATGTCAATGGGGAGCTCATTCCACCATCTTGGAGCCAGGATAGCAAACCCACGTGTTTTTGCTGATGGGAACTTGGGTCCCCCTCGCAGCGAGGGTGCAGCGAGCCGTTTGGTTGATGCAGAGCGGAGTGCACGTGCCGGGGTGTACGGTTTAACCATGTCCTGGATGTAGGAAGGGCCAGATCCATTCGCAGCATGGTACGCAAGTACCATTGTCTTGAAGTGGATTCTAGCAGTTACTGGAAGCCAGTGGAGGGAGCGGAAGAGCGGAGTGGTGTGGGAGAATTTAGGAAGGTTGAAGACCAGACGAGCCGCCGCATTCTGGATGAGCTGCAGAGGTCAGATGGCACATGCAGGTAGACCAGCCAGGAGGGAGTTAGAAGTTAGAATATTGGACTCCAAGGCTGCTTTTCCAAACACCTGAAGACCTGCAGCCAGGTTTAAAATGAATGGCATTCTTTATTGTTTTCTCTTCCAGTGTGGACGAGAAATAATAATATCCTACAAGCTGCTGTTTTCTAAAACTCAATAAATAGACAGAAACGTATTATCCGGTGACCATACTTTTCATTTAATGCCAAATCTCAGATAAAAGGGTTCTGAGTGTGGCTGCAATGAAATAACGGAGGGATGCAGCGATAACATTTTGAATAATGAATAATCTTTCAACTAACCGCATTATTCTGCAGAGTTAATGGGTTTGAAGCTCTACATTATAATTATATTTAGTACAATGAATACAGTGATGCAGGCCAGACCACATTGTTCTGGTTGAAGATTATATTGGAGTGTCGTTAGATGAGTTCATCCCTGTCTGTGAAAGATTGACTTCAGCGTGCCGTGAGGTGCATCAGACAACTTGAAGAGGACAGTCATCTCACATTTCCTCTCAGAAATATGAACTATCAAGTCAGCCAGGACCCAGAGACATAAGGTTTTGTTTCCTAGATTAACAAAACTGTTTTATTACTGATTATTCTAATTCATATCTTTTTGATTTATTATATAATTATTAGCCTATCAACCCTCATTGTAATAATGCTAAGCAATATTTTGACTGCATAAATGTTATCATTAAATAGCTTGTATTGTCCGTCAAACAGTCCAAAGCCTTATTTATTATTCACTCAGAGAAAAGCAGAAAATCCTCTCTTCTAATAAGTTAAAGCCATCGATGTTACGCATTTTAAATTATGAATCAATGTTTACAATAATGGCTAATTGCTCATTAGTCGGGTAAATGCTTGATTCAATAATAATGTAATCAACACTTTGATTTGATAATGTTGTTCTGAATGAAGAAATGTTGTTTTCTCACATACTTGGTCATGTGGTCATAAATTGCAAATAAATCACAAGTGTAAATAAGACATTGAATCATATTACAACTGTAACAGTGAATGAATTCTGTAAAGCCTAACACTCAACAAGAATGTGTCATCTATTTCTCAAATCATACACGTGTGAGATTTCTGTCTTTTCAGCGGTGAGACTGCTGCACCAACACGTTTAACAACAGCACCTTTATAAGCATCGTCTGACAGCACACAGGATCAGCTGTTGTTGACGATTAGCATAATTCTGAGACAAATTGTCCTCAAGCGAGCAGGAAAAAACAACAACCCATGAGATAATATGTACCGTTAACGTTAGAGTAAAAGAGTGCCAGACAGGGTCAAACGGCAGATCAATTATTTGTCATTTCCTCCTTCCGTTCCACTCTGATCTCTCCATGTTCCAAAGTGGTGATGCTTTTCGGGGATGAACACAGTGCTGTCCACAACAGTCAACAACAATCTGGGCGCTTGTGATGATGTGGAGGCAGCGCCATAAGGAAGATTTCTCAAGTGAGATCTCCGGGCCGGTCTGACTCAGGACAGAGCATCAGTCAGCTGCCTGCTCCACTGCAGGCCATTCCACAGGAAGTCAACGCCATATATGGCTCAAACTGACTATTGTGTCTGTATCTACATGCTCCTACTGTGCTATGTGTTTCCAAGGCAACCAAGACGAGTCAGTCTGTTTTCCCTACACACACACACACACACACACACACACACACACACACACACACACACACACACACACACACACACACACACACACACACACACACACACACACACACACACACACACACACACACACACACACACACACACACACACACACACACACACACACACACACACACACACACACACCACACACACACACACACACACACACACACACACACACACACACACACACACACACACACACACACACACACACACACACACACACACACACACCACACACACACACACACACACACACACACACACACACACACACACACACTCTGCATGAAATTGTTATAATGAATGCTCTATTTCACTCGAGTCCTCTTTTGTGCTCCGCTGTTGCATCAAAAGGGCTGTTTTGGCTTCATAAAGCAATGTTATCAGGCACAAACAGTGCAGCAGGTAGCAGCTCTCACCATTTTATTATATTTCATTAGTATGTCAGGTGAAGAACGGCTTGTGGGGAGCTGCAGGATTGAGTCACCAACCCCCTTCCCTCTTCTATCCCTCTCATCTCCCCCTGTATTTCTTTACCTCTCTTGTTCACATTTCCCTGTTTCTCCACTCCCGTATGAAATCATTTTAATTTGAATTAATATTCAGCAGGCGACGAGACACAGCTCACACACACAGTAAACACACCAAGACACTCGGCAGAGTTTGCTGTGACGCTGATTAATTAATGAGCTGGAAAATACAACCACAAGGGGAAGTATTAGCATACAAAACTACTCCCAACTGTGTCCATCAGGCCTGACACACACACACCTCTCAAACACGCAGATGAAAGGATACTTAAAGGACAACGACACCATGCCAAATGACATTTAGAGGATGAGATGAGTAGAACAACCAAACACTTACGGGATGCAGGGGACTTGCTGCGCTGTGTTTGGACGGCGAGCTTGGGGGAGCCTCGGTTCAGAGTGGCAGACATCTTCCCATAGGTCACAGTCTTCATCACACGACACTCTGAAAGCACGAAGAGAAGACCGATAGAGTTCAGAAACCACAGAAAACTTCACATTTATTTATTAGTCTACTCAAATAATCGAAATGTCCTATACGTTTTATGAAAGTCTTCAATTCCAGGAACTAGTTTACCCAAAACAAGTGAAGGAAGAGTTTTGTGCCACACAACTTAAACCCTGCTGAAAATCCTAATTTTCACAGTTTTCCAACCAACTATTGATAGAATATTTTTGATTGATTTCAACCTTAAGTCCTGCAAGAAAAGCACAAAAACACTTAATCTACCAACAGCTGTAATTGGTTTTACCTTCAGGTCCCCAGCACAAATTAGTTCTGACCTTCACTGGGCTTGCTTTCCAAACGCAATTATTGTGGTGTTTCAGGAGTGACAGCCTGACTCACAAAGGTCTGGTATTTTACACACACACACACATCCTGACAAATGAGCCATGCGATGGTACTCACACAACCTCCCTGCCTCCTTCATCCCCAAAACTTTGCTACTCTGCTGCTCATTAACCCAACCCCATTATAGCTCATTACCAAGACCAGAGGGAAAGGGAAATTATACATACTGCCTGGTGTGTGTGTGTGTGTGTGTGTGTGTGTGTGTGTGTGTGTGTGTGTGTGTGTGTGTGTGTGTGTGTGTGTGTGTGTGTGTGTGTGTGTGTGTGTGTGTGTGTGTGTGTGTAATTTGCTTGCATGGCAGTCGTTGTGGCCCAGTGATTAATGTACAATGCGGTGTGTTAACATGATGACAGTGTGCCAGGGCTGAGGCAGAGGCGATAATTATATGGTGATGCTGAGAGGAGGCGAAGTGGTGTGCAGCTCTGACTCCGACTGTCTGCTGTGTGTGTCGCTGTGATTTCCCGCCTGACTATTCTGCATCATGCCCTTTGCCTTTAGCTCGGAGTTGTCAAATTGGCTTTATAGCTTCTCGACATATTGCATATGTGTGTTTTCTTGTACCTGTACATAGTGAGGGCCAAAACATATTTTTAACCAAGATAGTGAGACCCCACATGGATAAGCTATTACATTAGGGTTAAGGTTAGCTTAGCCTTTGGTGGGGGATTTAGAAGATACGTTGAGGTTAAAGGAAGCTTCCAGTAAACCAAGGTAGTTATTTAAGTCTATACATTGTATAAATGTGACAAAGCCAAAACTAATAAATGTTTTCGGAGAGAACATTTAAATATATGGAGTCCAGCTGGGAAGAGACCAAGGGGTAGACCTAGGACCAGGTGGAGGGATTATATCTCTTCGCTGGCCTGGGAGCGCCTTGGGATCCCCCAGCTGGTTGATGTGGCCAGGGAAAGGAACGTTTGGGGCTCTCTGCTGGAACCGGGACTCGACCCGACCACGGATAAGCGGGAGAAGATGGATGGATGGATGTATGGAGACTACGTTTTTAAGTATGTGGATCATGGCCAGCATCATGACACATTACTACTAAATACTCTCATGCCCTTTGTGATAACACAAAAAGAGCATGGTCATATCAGATCTCTCTCCAGATAAAAAAAAATAAGCCTCACAACTTTGAATTACTCACGGAGAAACATGCATGTTAGCCTTAAGAAAACAGGTCGGTGCTAACTCGCTACATCTTACCTCTGAACTACCTACTTCAAGTTACTTTTAATAATTGAACATAAAACTTGTTTTAGTTGCTGCACTGCTATATTGAGCCTTGAGAACTGTTTTGGAAGTTTAAACGAAGCTTTAGCCTCAAGCAAAAATACGGAGCAAAGAAGACAAGGTTGTGTTACAAAAAGAAACTAATGGAAGCAGCTAGCCATTATATTTTGCAAATGAAAGCAGAGAAGTGGGGAAGAGGGCTGGGAAAAAATAAAAGAGAGACAAAAGGGGGAAGGTTGGCAGCCCAGGTGGGATGGATATTAGTTAATGGATGAAGGGAGACAGAGAGAAACACATTAATTGAATAAAACCTTTAAACAAAAGCCAGTGCACACTCATAGAAGAGAGGGAGAGGGATGAGAGGATGGGAATATAAATGAGCACTAAATAGCAGGAGTCTCCAGACAGAAGTGCAGAGAGAGGAGAGACAGGGAGACACAGATGGGTGAATTGAGGACAGAGAGGGTCCTCAGCAAACCTCGGTGGAGCGACAGGACGAGAAAATGAAGATGAACAATGAGGTTAGACGATGGGTACTGTGCCACTGAAAAGATAAGTCGCGGAGTACAAAGAGCAATACAGAAACATAATAGTTTTTTCACCTTAAACTTGGGAGAGTATGGCAGATTTAAAATGCCTTAATAACAGAAAGAAGGACATTGAATTGGACTGGACAGAGTTCATCCCTGTCTTCTTAAAATGATGTTCCCATAAAACTGAATTATGAAGGGAACAGTATTTACAGTCATAATTTTAAATGCTAACTTTGTGAATTTAAACAAAACTAAATAACTAATTGCATACACAGGAAATATTGGTGAGTATTTTTTCCAGAGTAATTACTATTTTGCTCTGAAATAGTGATATTTAATCATTTTGGAGTGTATTTATTACTCATAGCTTCTAGAGTGCGATCAAAAATGCAGAGTCAATTCTATTGGAGTCAAACCATGACCACGCTGTAACGGAGGTGATCTCTGGGGCCGTAGATCTCAGTCTCTTATATTATATAGCTTCATTATTGGCTAAGTATATTACTTTGTTCCACGCTAAAACATTGCACAGGAAGCATGTGAATCTGTCATTTATGCATCTATTTGTCACGACCTGTCTATGTTTTAGTTTGTCTGTCTCTGTTTCCTGTTGTAGTTTGTGTTCCCCCTCCAGTCTTGTCTGTTGCTGGTGATTGTGTTCACCTGGTGCCCCTTTGTTTTCTCCTCCTTCCTCACCTGTGTCTTGTTGGTTTGATTAGTCCTGTGTGTATTTAGGTTCTGTTTTCCTGTTCGTGTGTGTGAGGTCCTTGTTGCTGGTGACTGTGTTCACGTAAGACAGTCATATTGAGGCTGTGTATCATGAACCACAGCGATGAATAAATGCCCACACCGGGTTGTATTTTAACTCTCTGCCTCCTTGCTTGGTCGGGCCGCTCAATGGTCAGCTTCACACACTCCCACTCGTGTTACTTAAGCACTTTGGTTTATTGACCTTTTTTATTATAAAGATCATTATGGTTCATTTATTCTATTCTGAGTAAAAATTACCTTCTATTGGGAGTAAAATTACCTTCTATTGGAAGTAAAATTACCTTCTATTGGGAGTAAAATTACCTTCTATTGGGAGTAAAATTACCTTCTAGTTGGAGTAAAATTACCTTCTATTGGGAGTAAAATTACCTTCTATTGGGAGTAAAATGACCTTCTATTGGGAGTAAAATTACCTTCTATTGGGAGTAAAATTACCTTCTATTGGGAGTAAAATTACCTTCTATTGGGAGTAAAATTACCTTCTATTGGGAGTAAAATGACCTTCTAGTTGGAGTGAAATGACGTTCGATTGGGAGTAAAATTGGCAGTAGAGTTGTTTTTAATATACACTACATAGAGTAAATAACCATTAAGCAGAGTCAAATCTAAGCACATAATAGAGTAAAATGAACTCTAAAAATACAACTCTGAACAAAGAGTACATTTTACTCTATATAGGTTGGGACCAAATGTAATATTTTTAGAGTAAAATGTTCTTCAATTTGAGTCAATTTTACTCAGAGAAATTTACTGTGTAGGCATAGGCAAGAAAACACTTATATTCAGTAAATGAGTATGGTACATAACGTACAGACGAGACACAAGACATTATTGGGGACACGAACAGTAGTCACCTCTATTTATCGGTCTTGCTCTGTTGGACAATTTTTTAATGTGAAATCTTTGCCTACTGCAATGAACTATACAGCAATGTAAAACTACCCATTCAACACTAATTATTCCCTTTTGGAACCGTTTAAACAACAGCATAATGTATCAAAACACTAGTTTATCACAATGTGATTGCACTAAATGATTAATAGCTCAAACCTATAAAATAGGACATAAAAAAACATTTTGTTAACAATTAGAAAACACAGCTGGGGCGTGAAGGAATGTAATGAGAGGGACACACTTCAAAATCAAAAGTGAAACGTCAGCATAAAAAGTCAGACGTCAAACTGGTTCCCTCACCACTTTCATCCAACATCAAGTCTTCTTGGTAGCGATACTTCTCCGGTCCACAGGCAACAAAAACGTCCTCATCGCCAAAGAAGTCTTGCAAACACGTCACCTGGAGACAAAGACATTTATCTACTGTTATTATCATTTATTTGTAAGATAGTACATTTCCAGGTCAATTGAACGGCAGCCAAGAGCAATGCCATCTTTCTATCATTAGTATGCATTGTTCAAATAACTTATTGTCGAGGGAAAGCAGCTGCTCTACAGATTTACGAATGCCAACTCTCCAAGTCCCACGCTTAACGTCCTTAATTCTAGTATACTGACACATACACACTGTAAAGAAGACACTCACACAGCCCAGAGCTCAGCACTACGCACGCACACAAAATAAGATTTCATGTGCTTACGTGAAACAGCACGTGGACTGAGCTCCAGGACACGGATGAGGAACAACATGGGAGTCTGTTTGTGCCTGCTTGTTTTTGTTTGCACGTTGGCTGACTCGCTTATTTACTGATTGGCTACAGCACCGGACATTCAGAGCAAACAAATGGGGGGGGGGGTCTTTTCCTGGAAGACTATGTGGTGTGATGGAGAGGGTTGGAGGTGAAGAGAGGTTTAGATATTAGAGGAATTAAAGATTTATGTGGAATAATTACATTGCTGAATAATTTAGATATTAGGGTGTTACATATTACAGTTGAATAAGGGCAGAGCTGAGTATGTTTGACTCAGGGGGGAAATACAGTTGTTATTCAGTCACTCCATACTAAGCTAATATCAAACCTACAAGCAAATAACTGGATTATTAAATAAGAAATAAGAGTTCTTTAAGAGGGTTTGTAAAGTTTTAATTATTGTGATCAATACATAATGCATCTTGAACCCCGCTGTTAACATATTCATTCTGCCCCACAAGACATTTGTTAGTTGGGTTTTTAAATTCACCGTTAACACATTTCAGCAACAGGGTGTTTATTCTGATAAATAGGTTAAGAAAGACGATGCTCTTCATTGTTTTCTGCGTGATTTAGTCGACAGCTTATTCCATATCTGATCCGAACTCTGCATGATTTACTCAAACAACTTTAATTACACCCCACGGGCAACCATCACATTTCAGTCCCAAGCCATCAATATTCCAAATCATATTTCGCGATAGGCAACGTCACAGTGCGAAAGGGATTTCCAGAAGGACAATAGTTCATTCATCCGCTATGACAAATCTCCTTTCAAAAACCTATTAAGAGCTATTACAATTTAGACTGCGTGTGCAGCACCGCCTGGAGTTCACACATTAAAACAAAGCAACCTTTTATTGCATTTTCGTGGCAATTAACATCCAAGAATCCATTTAGATTCCTATTAGCCACCAATCAACAGCCCACAAGAAAGTCACAGCGGATATAACAGCATTATCAACAAAATACCCAATAAACAGTGAAGAGGCCATTCTTCAAGGGTGTGTGTGTGTGTGTGTGTGTGTGTGTGTGTGTGTGTGTGTGTGTGTGTGTCATCCTGCTTTACCCCCCACGGACTCTAAATGTGCAGAGGGGAGGCAAAAATCAAGTTTAATCTCAGACGCAGACTTTCTGTGGAACATGGACTATTTTCATTTAACTTTTCAAATGAAGGCTCGCTGTGTGTTTGTGTCAGCGTACATTCTGCCACGAAAACACATGTTTCTGCACGAGAAAATAAGAAGAGCTTTGTGTCTGTGGAAGAGAGGTTATTATAGTTTCATAACAGAGTGCATATTGCTTTCTTCCCTGATATCCCCTGACAGTGTGTCGGTGATTATTTCAGGCCGAGCGGCTCCACTTCCTAACAAGATGGCTGTGATACAGACGCCGGTGCTGTTAGCATTTCCCCAGTGAGTCGGCTCCGATGAGTTGCCTTGGACACCTCTACCTCTTATTGTGCTGGATGTCCCCGTATTTACACATTATTTTAATCTTTATATAATTGTATGCTACTGTGTTCACTGAGCACAGGACATCTTTACGTTAGTCCTTACATAGTGTATAGTACAAAGTGTTTTGATTGTTCAATTAAATTATATTCAAAGTATTTTCAATTGAATATTTGGAAAACTTACAGTTTTTGTATGCTCATTCTCTCGCACAGGACTCTCTTAATCTAAATACGAATAGCCTTTTTTTTTAATAAGAAATAAAAAAGAATATGATTTTTATCAAGATCAATCTATAACTATGACCATTTTTTGTACTTATTGATTTATAATTATCGATATATTTGAACACTGTATTTATTGAATTTTGTCTACAGGAGGAAAATGCTGACTTGAAATAACAGACTTTAAAAAGATAAAATAAATAAAGTTAAAATCCCACAAGACCATTCTCTTCAAGTCAACGGAAATATAACGCAATGGTCATTGACTTATAATGAATCAATTGTTTCATGAAATGTCAGAACAGTGAAGTTGCCCATCAGAACTTCCCATGGTCCTAAGTAATGGCTAAACTCAAAAATTAATTTTCAGTTGACTTTCAAATGAAACAATAATAGTCTTCAAAAAAAAATGTTCATTTATTTTGACATTTCTGTACACAAGTCACTCGTTTAAAACTTGCTGTTGTATTCAACGCCCTTACTTATACATATCTGTAAATATGTTAACATCATTTATTTTACACTTATACTGTCACTTTCTTTGACATATTTTATGTTTAATTCGTACATTTCTTTGTCACACTTGTGTGAACTCACATCAGTCCTATCTTGTGTTTCACCCTTGTTCCCGTTGCTGCCATCACACCTGCATTTCTCTACAGGGATCAAAAGGTTTATCTTATCTTATCTTAAATGCTGATTATTTGTATTTACAGCAGTCAGTCTGACCGATTCCTCAGGCCACGACTGCTGCTGGAGTCAACCAAGAGGAGGATGCTGCAATGAGGCTCCTTTGAAGCTGCTCATCCCAAGATAGAAACACCAGAAACGTTGAGTAAACAGAGAAGAGGAAAGAACTCATGCAGAACGTATTCACTGTGAGGAGGACAGTGAGATATTAGTGAGGGGAAACGGTGACAATCTCTATGTAGGGCAGCCTCCAAGGGCACCTTTAAGCCGAGGGTAAACTATAATGTGGAGCAACACACAAACACACACTGTATACGGAGAGGGGTGTGAAAAGTATGGTTGCCATGGTGATAATGCCCTCTAGGCATTGATGAAGGGCTGGTGCGTGCCGCTGACTGCACGCTGTGCACACTGTGAGAGAGAGCACAATCATTCATATTTTATCTACTATTGGCACGACACACTCTACAGAACGGTGTCATTCACACAATTCCACACGCACTAACACACGCAAGAGGCACATGGCCTGGTTAATATTGAAATACTCGTGCAATGTCCTCCATTCAAAAAAGATGAAAAAATGAATGATGGTTAGGGGATTTAAGGTGAAAAGAGAGTTGGAAAAAATTCAATTAAACCAAAACAGTCAAAGAAATCGGGTTAGCAGAATCCCCCGAGTTTGAGAGGAAACCAACAGACAGAGGAAAACGAGCAACAGAGGAGGAGATCGATTCCTGACTGAGCCCAACGACAAAACAAGACGCTTTGATGTCTCTGGTGCTGCGTTCTCTCACAGTTACACAACATCCACCGCTGCTGTAACAACGACTGGGAGAAACAAACGGAGACATGGAGGAAAAACAGGGACTGCAATAAGATGATGGAAAGGAGCAGGACGTGTGGGAATTGTCAATTTCACATCCCTCCCATCAACTCTATTTAAAATGGGCTTAGAAACTGGGTCACAATAATCAATTTACTTCCCCAGATTAAAAAAGGGATGGATAGATGCATACGTGAAAGCATTTGTTCAGAACAGAATACAAATCAAGAGCAGGAGCAAATTGGATCTTTAGAGCAATTGTATGTGGCATCTCACACCTGACAAGCAATCCCCCTTCCACCATGACTGACTTACAAACAAAGGGAACAAATACAGATTTGATATTACGGACACTAGTAATACTAGTAACAACAATAGTATAACTACAATGTAATAGAGGCTTGTACAAACACATTTATTGACTTCTAATTATTGTGAACATGATCTACTCCTGAAAATCTAAAAAAGATCGAAAGATGATTAAGCACTAAGAGAAATAGTCAGTAAGCCTATTTATGTTGTCACTATGCCACCTAGTGTACAATCACCAAACACCTACAAAAATGTCTCTTTGTTTTTATTCTTGTTTGTTCTTCTTCTCCCTCTATGTTTTGTTGATATTCAATACTAATCAGATTTAAGAAGCTATCTGGTTTTGGGCACATAATCGTCTTATTATTTGCACAGCATTAGTGCCAAGGTGGATCACTATATGAGGCAAAAAACAACTGCCGCCACAAGGTGGCACTGTTTAATAACCACATGGTGAGATATGTGAGACAGACGACACCAAAGTAGCACCAGAAAACCAGTGAGATGGAGAGAGATGGACATACTGAGCAGCTGGATTTTAACTCAGGCATTAAACAGAATGGGAGAGAAAGGTATAGACAGTTTTAAAAAGATAAATGAAATGGTAAGGAGATGATTTCTGACTCCATCCACAACATACATTATGAATGTTGAAAACACACAGGAACTAGGTGTAGTTTGTTTTTAATAATCCGACCACGAGCAGACAGATTAAAGCGTTTTCAATCTGGATCTCTGCAGAGCCCTACCTTTGGTCTCTACCATTACATGTTACTTGTTAGACGCTTTCATCCAAAGCGACATACATACTCAATACTGTGGGCAATCCCCACAGGAGCAATTTGGGGTGAAGTGTCTCAGGGACACAACAACATGCTGACTGCAGTGGGGTTTGAACCTGTGACCCCAACGCTCTATCCACTGCACCACACGCCTCCCCATCTGAGTGCCTCTTTGTCTGGGAGGGATCACTGTGGAGCACAGTTTAGTTTGGAAGCTCGGGAACGCAAGGGGAAAAACATGAAAGTGACCGTCAGCTGTGACAGTTCAATTAGAACATTGAAAAATATACTATAACATTATTTCACCTTACTTGTAGGGTCATACAAAATGAAGACTATACGTCTATAAACTATCAAAACAGT